ATCTGGAAGTCTGCTTTTGAGACTTGTTTACGTGTCTTCTCATTTCCACAGGATGGGGGTGGGGTGCTTCTGGTGCCTACACGGCTCAGCTTCTCTGCCCTCGGAGCGTGGAATGGCAGCAGGGGATCCTCCTTCTGGGTGCTGGGACTGGCTCACCTTCTTTGCCCTAGGACCATGGAATGGCCAAAAAATTTTTATAATAGAACTTTTAGGAGGTTTTAAAAGACAGCTTTTGTCTAGGGAGATTCAATCTGATTGCTGGCGTAGTGAGTTGGCCAGACCGTTTCACCTCGTCCCGTCATTGTAGTGATCTGGACACTGTGGCTAGTGGCGAGGGTCTGGTGGTGTGAGGGTCTGTGATCTGCCCCGGAGGGCTGGGTTGCTCCTGACTCTGGCTCAGTGGCTTGGTGCCATGCGCTTGCAGGGAGTAGACCTGCTTACTCTCCGGGCAGTTTCTGTCAGCTCCATTTATTTCTAGTGAGGTTGGTTGTGCTTCTGCTCACGTAAGTTTCTGTGAGGTTTGTTTTGTGTGTGTGTGTTTGTTTTGATTTCTAGGTTTTATCAGATTTTCAACAGGATTTTTATATCTAAACACCTCTCCGTTTCAAGTGTTCACCTTGGTTGAAGTCGTGTGTTTTATACTCTTGCCCTCCCCATGCCCGTCCCCTTGCAACATCTGTGGCTGATGCATCATTGTTGGCTGTTCCCAGTGATGGAATTCAATTTCTGTGCATACCCAGGCATAATTTCCTCAGGATAGGCCCAAATATAATCTGGATTAGTATAAAAGGGGCAGTCCTTTTATTTCTCTTGGATTACCTAATGGTTTTATTTTGTGTTTGCTTTTATTTTCCTTCAAAAATCTATAAATTTAAAACTTTTTTTTTTTCAGTGAACCTCAGGTCTGTATATTTTAGTCCATTTCTTTGACAGGAACCCCAGGGCCCAGATACAACATTCTTCCCTGGATTGGCATTATAATGTAGCAGTGGTAATTATTCAGTACTTGATTGAAAACGTGTGAGAAAATGATCCCGCCCACCAGGTTTTAAATGGTTAGTTTTTTCATTTTTCCCAGTACAGTACCTTCAAGGTAAGAAATAATTTTCATGAAAGTAAATGTAGATTGTATGTCAAAAGCAGATGTTATGGCCAAAAGACAGGACATGTGTTATTGACACAATAATTTTACTTTTCACGAGAATGATTGTAACCTTAAAGGGACTGGGGAAAATGGAAAAACTGAGTTGTGTGTGTCTGTGCGTGTGTGTGTGTGTAGGAGGCTTGCTGTAGAGTGGCTCATTTGGAACCAACACTCGGATCAGCGTAGGTAAAGTGGATTTGGCACTGCCTTCGGGTTCATGGTCTCTGTTGTACAGTGTGTGGATGCTTTGTCATCCCCAACACTGGCCTGCTTTCTTGGAACTGGTGTGCAGTGGCCCTCTGTATGTACTTACTGGCTGCTGTCCCTGTTGTAGACTGTGCTTGCAACGACTCCCTCTCTGTGGGGAAGAGTTGATGTAGATTATCTTTTTGTGCCACCCATAAGACATAGACTCCAGGTCACTGGCCATCCTAGAGGTTGGCTGCCCTGGGAGGGCTGTGCATGCACTACCAAGCGTGGCCCTGCTCGCAGCACCCAAGTTTGTGGTGAGCAGCAGTTTTGAAATTGGCATTAGAAAAGAAAACTAAGCAGGGGTCATGCTGTTGTGAACTGTAACGGATGCTCTGAGGAAAGTCAGCACTGAATGGCCACCAGTCTGTCTCCCCAATTAAGTCAGCTCTTCCTTTGCAGACACGTGTGGCTAGAAAGAAGGGCTACATGCCTCTTTCCACATGTC